GAAGTACTGTGTCCAGTTCTGGTCTACCTGTTATAGCAAGGATATTATTAAGCTGGAGAGAGTTCACATGAGATTTACCAGGACGTTGCTGAGAACGGAGGGATTGAGTCATAATGGGGGACTGGGACTCCTTTCACAGGGGTGTAGCACATTGAGGTTGACCTGAAAGTGGTTTCTGAAATCCTGAGGGGTAACAAAAAGTTGATGGGCAGTATCCTTTCACTGGGGTGGGGATTTCAAGACCAGGGCAGGGGGCAGCATATTTTTAATCAACTAGATTAGTTTCATTGTCGCGTGTACTCACATGAATACAGTGAAAAGTTTACAAGTTGCCACTTATGGCACCATGTTAGGTACAAAGGTACCTAGATACAACACTCCCCAGGGCCCTACCATGAACTGTTTAGGTCCTGTCCTTGAGGAGTACAGATAAGGTGAATAGCAAGTGTCTTTTCCCTAGGGTGGGGGATTTCAAGACCAGGATCATATTTTTTAAGGTAAGAGGTGAAAGATTGAGAAAAGGCATGAGGGGCAACCATTTCCCTCCCCCAAGAGTGTGGTTCACGCGTGGAATAAACTTCCAGAGGAAATGGTGGATATAGGTAGAATTTACAATGTTTAAAAGACGTTTAGATAATACATAAATAAGAAATGTCCGGAGAGACATGGGCCATGTGCAGGCAGATGGGGCTACATTAGTTTTGGAACATGGTCAGCACGGACTGGTTGGACCGACGGGTCTGCTTCTGTGCTGTCAGACTCTATGACGCTACATAATTGAAACTTACAGAATACTGAAAGGCCTGGATAGTTAGACATGGAGATGTTTCAACTTGTAGGAGAGACTAGAACCTGAGGGCACAGCTTCTCAGTGAAGAGATGACCCTTTAGAATGGAAATGAGGAGGAAATTCTTCAGCCCGAGGGTGGTGATTCTGTGGAACTCATTGTCATAGAAGGCTGTAGAGGCCAAGTCATTGAGTGTATTTATAACAGAGATAGATAGATAATTATCTTGATTGATAAGAGGATCAACGGTTGTGGGAGAAGGCAGGAGAATGGGGTTGAGAAACATATCAGTCACAATCAAATTGTGGAGCAATCTTAATGAGCCAAATAGCCTAATTCTGCTCCTACATCTTGTGCTCATGGTAATTATGGGTGACTTCAATCTGCACATAGGTTGAGCAAATCAAATCAGGAACAATACCAGACAGGAGAAATTCCTGGAGTGTGTACAAGATGGTTTTCTACATCTATATATTGAGTGACCAAAGAGAGGACAGGCCATCCTCAATGGCGTATTGTGTAATGGTCAGGGGTAGGTTAGCTCAGTTGGCTGAACAGCTGGTTTGTGATGCAGATTGACTCCAGCAGCATGTGCTCAATTCCTATACAGCTGAGATCACCATGAAGGTCCCACCATCTTAACCTTGCCCATTGCCCGAGGTGTGGTAACCCTGAGGTTAAAGCACCATTTGTCATCTCTCTCTCTGAAGTGAGAGAACAGTCCTACAGTCTTCAGAAACTACAGTAACTTTATTTCAAAATTTTAATTGTGTAATAAGAGTGGATTAATTGGACTGTGAAAGGCCTCATGTGGAAAAGTGAAGACCTCTTCATGATAGAGCTCTTCATTAGGATGGAGAGTGACAGAGTTGATTTTGAGACACGGAGCCAAAATCTAAATAGAGGAACTTACAATGGTATGAGGTGCACACAGGCATTCTCGATTTTAACTGTCCCACATTTGGTGCTCTCAACCTTTAGCTGCCAAGCTGATAAACTGTGAAACGTCCTCATTAAACCTCTCTCTCTCTCTCTCTCAAAATCAGTTTTGCACCCTAAAATACTGGTTGAAAACAACTTACTTGACCATAAAACATTTTGTCACCACCTTAATATCTCATTGTGTGTCTAGGGTCAGAAGTTGCATCATAACACTACCAAGGAACAGTTTGGAAGTTTCCATTATGTGAAGGGCACTATATGGATACAAATTAATTGCCATTGATTTGGACACATGTCACAGTTCCTTCATCATCACTTGGTGAAAAACTCCTTTCCTAAAAAGAGCACTGTGGGACCACGAAGGGAAGGAAATCGCCAGCAACAAATGGCCAGGCAATGTTCAGCTGTAAAAAACCTCATTTAGAGAGTCAATGGAAATAACAATACAATACCTAAGACAGTTTTACATCCATCATTGAAGACAGACCAGGTTAGACAATGACAGAGAGCTGATCAGGGAGAGCAGAGATGAACCAGAACAATGTATGGTGTTATAAAGCAGCTTTTGACACCAGCCACAGAGCGAGGGGGTGACAAAATGAGTCACAGTAGCTCTAGAGTCAGAAACTGAAAACAGCAGGAGAAGCTTAATGGTGTAGATTACTGGTTTAAAATATTGAAATAATTTCATTGTGTTCAACTTTAAAATCAATGCCAGAGTCCGCAGCTCAAAAGATATCAGAAGCACTGGGGTCAGAGTAAACTCACAGTTCAGGAAATACCCGAGAATCAGGGTGATATCAGTGAGCAATTGTTTGTGTGTGATATCATCACCCACTTGAACACAGAGCATTTGGGCCTGTACAAACAGGCGATCTCCACAAAGAATGTGAGGGTCTGAGGAGAGACTTGAAAGGAGATGAATCAGAATGGCTCAACAACCAAGGGATATTAGTTGTAAGGTCAGATTGGAGAAACTGAAGTTGTTCTGCACAGAGCAAAGGAGATTGAGATGAGATTTGATAAAGTGTCGATGTTTAAATAAGGCAGATAAAGAGCAGCTGATCTTCTTCACTGGTAGTAAAACTATGAAAGACACAGATTTAAGATACTGGGCAATAGTTACTGTGCGATAGAAGGAAGGAACCTTATGTTACTTTTATCTTACTCAATACTTACATTCAAAGGCCAATAATATCCAAGTGGCTCACTTAGATCTTGGTGTATCATATTTGGTTTGAGTTTCCGATCTGCAAATCCTTTTCTAACATGCTGTAAAAAAAATTTACAAGACCCATCTCAGTCAGTCCGGGTCAAAATTTCAGAAGAAGCAAACATTTCTTTGCTTTGGAGTTTGCTGTGTGTAAATCCTCCCCTCCTCAATCCCTGTTAAAGAAGTTTATAAACTCCATTCCTGTCAGTCCAGGAGAGACATTCACAACATTCTTTCCCCTGGCCCACGGCGACCGCACATGCGCCCTGCTGCCCTTTGCCTCCTACAAAGATGGCGGCCATTACCCGCGGCCTGTCATGGAGACGGAGCCTCAATTTGTCCCGTTTTCTGAAACGGGGACAGATAGTTTCTTTATGCAGGGTCTGTCGCATCCACAAAGTGTTTGGAAAGCCTCCCCGTCTACCGCCTACTCCATTCCGCC